TATATATATATATATATATATATATATATATATATATATATATATATATATATATATATATATATATATATATATATATATATATAAAATTAACATTAGATTATAGACTCCAGGGTGACAGATGATGGCATCGCCCCCTAGCTCATGTGCTCCAAATCCTTGGTGTCGGCTCTCTCCATTTGTCGTTGCAGCCATCGTCGTAATTGGTGGAGTCCATGCCGATGCTCGTTAATTGGCCACAAAATCTCCTATTGCAGTTAGTGGCTCTCGTCGTCCTTATAGTCGACAACGATAGCCTCATTATTGTGAAAATCCCTAGCTATGGCAGTAGCCAGCTCATCAAAATTGACTACATTTGTGAGTGTCGGGGGTCGACGACCGCATCCGTGCTCCAAATGTCCGATGTTGGCTGCTCTCCATCCATTGCCATAGTTGTCGTCGTAATTGGTGGAGTCCACGCCGGCACTCGGTACCCTTAGATGCAACCAATTTCAATGAGCTAGCCCCTGCCATGGCTAGCGGCTTTCATGACAATGAGGTCCTCACTATTGGCTATGAGGTCGAACGTGATGAAATGCTCAGGAGTCGCTAGCCGCGACAAGAGATTTGGCGACTTGTTGATGGGCGCCGACGTAGACTACACTAGTTGCAATGATGACTACGACGATAGATGGAGGGAGGTTGACGTAAGGGATTTAGAGCATCTGAGTTGGGGACGACATCACCATTTGCCACCACTGAGTCCTATCGAACATTAAAATTATCTTTGATCATTTGTTTTTATATTTTTTTTTGATAAAACTAACGTCGTTAGGATAAACAAATCTAGATATTTTACTTTCATAATTTAACTATATGAATATCAATATAATTTTTTAAAATATCGAAACATTAAACATAACTAACTACCATATATAATTATTGGCCTGCGATTTTGTCTTTTGGATAACGACAATTAATTAGAATCGGATGATCACATGTTTCCTAGTCGACTGTCGGGTGGACAATTATGTGCGAGATTTTGATGAGCTATGGATTTCTTACGATCTAAAATCCGTTGTCGTGTGACTGTTCTCTCTGAACAAGAAAAGGTGTCCATCTTAGTCTCGATGAAATGTTTCTGTTGTACTATGCTTGTGCAATTCCAAGCTCGTACGATAGTTTACTTGCATGATACTACAAGATTATACTAAGTAGATATGGTATGATTTAGATAAAACCAATTAAATCTCTGATGAATTATATTATACTCGAGTTTGAATTATCTTGATTAATAAATAATCGATTTTTTTATTCATAAAATTTAGCTTATCCAATTTCATCATCCCTTGAACATTGAACGTTGGAGTTTGAAATATCATATCTAAAACATTATTTAGTAATGATGTATCAGATCAGCTAACATAATTAGTAGGAACTTTGATTGTTTAAGTCAAGTTTCGTCTTTACTATTTATCTTTTAAATAAATTTTCGATTATTAACAGTAAAATAAAAATAATAAAAATAAAATCTAACTCTTCCTTTTAATTGAAGTAAAGCTTACCCGCCGCCGTGTAATCCTAACATAAACGTTAGGACGAAGAAACCCGAAGAGGGTGACTCGCCAACACACCGCACATGTTCTCTTTGGTGCCGAGGAGACATGCATCTGTTCCTTAAAAGCACCTCTGCCGAGCTTTACCTTCTCCGCGAGCTCACATGGACTACGTTGCTTTTGTGTCGCGAGCCATGGAGTTAGCAACGAGGACGAAGCAAGAGTTGGCAGCCGAGGAATGCTGCGTTTGCTTGTCGAGGTTGGAGGAAGACGAGTACGTGACGCGGCAACTGCCGTGTGGCCATTTGTTCCACCGAGAATGCATCGGTACTTGGCTGAGCTCGTGCAACCGGAGTTGCCCTCTTTGCCGCCGATCCGTCGACGTGAAATCCACGAGCATGGCGGCACAGCAGCAGCAGCTCACCGAGGAGCTGGTGATTTGGTTCTCTTCCTTCCATATTCCTGGCTTCTAACAACAACATGCATATAGTTTTAGCTCTCTGTCTCATGTCATACGATGAGTTTAACTCTCTTTTTGGCGCAATGCAATCGTCCCCTATGAAGAAAAGAATAGAAGACAAATAATTATTGAAGAAGCTTTATTGAACAAATGAAAATGCTTCAATACATTAACATGCTCCCTCTCCTATTTATACAAATTAGGAGAAAGGATTTCCCTCGACAGAATAGAGGATTTTCAATAGAGAGATTTCCTCGTATAGTTAAGGAAATCTTATTTTCTATCACCCCGAATATTTTTATAGGTCATCAACGTATATGATTAAGGAATATTTCATAGTATTCAGACTAATAAGAAAATATTCTTTTCGTAATCTATTGTTGATGTGACAATACGATTTATGTCATCTTACGGTTTTAAGTATCATCATCATCATCATCATCATCATCATACTATCGGTGTGAAATATCCGTGCATCAATAGTATAATATTATCTGTTGTCGCACAGCACCTTAAACTTACTCCCATCGTGATCATAAATCATCAACAAACTTTAAGGAGCATGTATCATTGGAAGCTCTCAACAGTCGACACGTAGTTTCGGTAGGACGGGTCTCCCCCCTTTAAGTCAGTGGAATCTAAGATTGCAGATGGCTCCCTCCCCACTTTGGGTAGTTGGCAGTCTAAGTGAGACCATAAAGGTTCACAGAGAACCTGCTGCCCCATGGCGAGAAGACGGGCAAAGGAAGGAATACAAGGGGGTGGGTTGATGACCCCCCACATGTATTGTGGTTAAACAAATCATAGAACAGATGGATGTATATAAATTTATAATTAGATAATAATAAATATCCACATGCATATGGAGAATATAATATTTATTGGCTTTCATTTGACACTTGATCTTGACAAATACGACGAACCTACCACGATGAGGTTGAACGAGTGATCAAAATTTTTTATCTATTAAATTAATTAATATATTTATTACATACGATAATATAATATCATCATTTAAAATTTAGTTTTTCTAATAAACAGGAATTCATTAAAATCATTGCAACGTCATCGCTGTAGTCGGAGGACATCCAAGTTGCGAAACCGGGAACGACGTCCATCGTTTCACACCGGTGGACGGTGGAAGTAGCCAATGGAGGGGAATCCAAGGACAAAGGCAGGACCCACGTTGGTGATGATGGCCTTTAACAGTCCCACGATGGAGGTGACGTCCCATCGGTGCATGCACTGTCGTGGGCTTTTGTCCGGGCATCGGACAGTCTCCCCTCTCCTCCCCGCTGAAACTGGAGCGGCTTACCCAAACCCTAGACCGGTGCCATCCGTTGCGTACGAATCAATCATCTCGCACCATGACGCTTTCTTTTATCATTCCCATCCTCATATAGATGTTTACACTGTTTACAAAGGCAGCGATGCATACGGAGTATACTAATGTACACTGTGAAGAAAAGAGTGGGGTTCCCTACAGGAGGTATACGTATACCATTTCTGCACACCATTCTCTAGCCTTTGATACAACATCATTGAATTTTGTGCAGAAGAAGGGGGGCAGGGAAGAGATAAGAGAGAGGGGAGCTCCATGAGTGGTTCGAGGATCTCCGCTATAGCCTGCATGCGGTGCGATGTTGTTCTCCTTTCTCAAAATGGCGCAGTTGAGCTCCTCCGGAGTGTGTTCCTTTTGGAATGCTTGCCAGCCATTGCCAGACGTAGCTGCCAACGAATCCAGCAAAAGAGAACATAAATCTTACCGTATTCCCTCCACACGAGAATGACAGAACTGACCTGAAACGATTGATACAATGTGTATATATATATATATATATATATATATATATATATATGTATGTATATATATATATATATATGTATGTATATATATATATATATATATATATATATATAT